AAATTTTTGTAGAGACAGTGTCTCACCCAGGTTAATTTCAGTCTCCTGGCCTTAAGTAATTCTCCCACCTCAGCCTTTCAAAGCACTGTGATTACAGGCGTGAGCCACTGTTTCCAACCAGAAGTTGCTCTTAAAATACATCTTTTTCAGGAGAGTTCCACCATTGTATTGGGGAAATGCCTAAAATTGTCGTAGACATTTGTGAATTTTTATTTTATCTGGCTAGGGATTAATTATAAGTGGTATCTTTATTCTGAAAAGTTTATTTTCTGTTTCTTTAAAATCTTTATTTGTCTTTTATTTTTTATTTTTTTAAAGTTGGAGTCTTACTCTGTCACCCAGACTGGAGTGCAGTGGCCACTCTTGGCCACTGCAGCCTCGACCTGCTGGGCTTCGGCGATCCTTCCGCCTCAACCTTCCAAGTAGCTGAAACTACAGGCGCGCACTACCACGCCCGGCTAATTTTTTTAAAAAATTTATTGTAGAGATGAGGTCTTGCCAGGTTGTCCAGGCGGGTCTTGAACCCGCGGACTCAGGCAATTCACTCACCTTGGCCTCCCAAAGCGCGGGATTACAAGCTGAGCCACCGAGCCGGGCCTTTATTTGTCTTTATAGGCTTTTTTTCTTTGACCATTCCCTGTGTAGCAATTGATTCTGAGTTTATTTCATAGGTTCTGGAAACTCAAAGACTGAACTGAGCAATCAAGAGGAACCAGTTGGTTGTTTTATTTTTGTCTCTTTTTGTACATGAATATGACTTCTGTTCCTAAATTATCATTTTGGTACAATTGTTCATGTTCAACTTTGTAGTGTTCCCATTTCATAGTATGTTTTACTTAAAGTTTGTTGCCAACTGCATTTTCTAGTTCTTCAACACAAAACACAAATATTCTTCATATATTTTTCCTGTGATGGGAAGTGTATCGTGTTTCTTCTAATTAATACAATTCTTAAATTTTCTAAACAGAGTTCCTTAAATGTTCTTTAAGATCTTTCTAACACACCTAGGTTTTCATATGCTTATTTTTTGGTTGTTGTTTCAGATGAGGGGAAATAATAATTCTTTTTTTTTTTTTTGAGTTGGAGTCTCACTCTTCCAGGCTGGAGGGCAGTGGCACGTGCCTGGCCACCACAGCCTCGACCTCCTTGACTCAGGCAGTCCTTCAGCCTCAGCCTTCCAAGTAGCTGGAACTACAGACGTGCACCACTATGCCTGGCTAATTAATTAAAATTTTATTCCAATCCTAAAATTGTTTGAATAACTGTCAACACCTTATTGAACACTTACTACATGTAAGCTATTTTGCTAAGCACTTTACATACTATATGGTATAAGTACATGAAAGAATCAATTTAATAATAACCCTATTAGTTAAGTATTATTGTTATTCCTGTTATACTGATGAAGAATTTGAGACAAAGTTTAAATAACTTGTACTGGGGCATGCAGTTGATTAATGGCAGGAATGAGACTAAAGCCCAGGCAGTCAGACTGCTGGAGCCTATACTCTTAGCCAGTATGTTTACAACTGTACTTTCAGATGAAAGCATGGTGAAAGAGCTCTCTTTTTTTTTTTTGAGTTGGAGTCTCACTCTGTTGCCCATACTGGAGTGCAGTGGCACGCTCTTAGCCACTGCAGCCTCGACCTGCTGGGCTCTGGCCATCCTTCCGGCTCACCTTTCCAAGTAGCTGGAACTACAGGTGTGCACTACCACGCCCAGTTAGTTTTTGATTTATTGTAGTGACGAGGTCTCACCAAGTTGCCCAGGTGAGTCTTGAATCCACAGGCTCAGGCAATCCACTCGCCTTGGCCTCCCAAAGTGCTGGGATTACAGGCTGAGCAACTGAGCCTGGCTGACCAAAAGAGCTCTCTTGCTACTATGACTCTTGTAGCCTCTTCTCTCCAAATCCACACGATCACTTTTATTTTTTTTGAGTTGGAGCCTCACTCTGTTGCCCAGACTGGAGTGCAGTGGCACACTCCTGGCCACCGCAGCCTCTGTCTGCTGGGCTCCGGTGATCCTTCTGCCTCAGCCTTCCAAGTAGCTGGAACTACAGGCGCACGCTACCACGCCCGCCTAATTTTTGATTTATTGTAGCGATGAGGTGTCGCCAAGTAGCCCAGGTGGGTCTCGAACCCGCAGGCTCAGGCAGTCCACTCACCTCAGCCTCCCAAAGCGTGAGATTACAGGCTGAGCCACTGAGTCCGGCTCACTTTTATTTTTTTTAAATATATTTTACAGTCTCTGTGATTTAAAATACAGTGTCACCAGAGTCCACAAATGATTGTTTGGATGTTCTGGTTTTTCCTTAGCTTTTAATTAGGACCAAAGTGGAATGATTTTTTGGGAATTATTGGGCAGTTCATTTCTAGTCTTCATGGAAGAATCATCTATGAAGCCAGAAGAAATACATAGTGCCTGGGATATTGTAGGCTATGCCAAAGTCTACATATATAATTGTGTATGTAGCTTACATGAAATCAGTTATGGCTAATTCTTTTCTTTTATATCTCATAATTTCACCACCTCTGAATTTGGACCAGAGGTTGTTCTCAAAAGACCTTGCGAGGGTCCCTGAGATTTTTTTTAAAGAGGTGCATGAGGTGAAAACTCTTATAATAACAAGAAATGTTCTTAGGGCTCACGCCTGTAATTTCAACATGGTGGGAAACTGAAGTGTGAGGATCGCTTGAGCCCAGGAGTTCGAGACTATTTCTGTTTCTTTAAAAAAAAGAAAAAGGAAAAAAGACTAGCCTGGTAACGTAGTGAGACCCTGTCTTTACAGAAAATACAAAAATTAGCCACGTGTGGTAGTGTGTGCTTGTAGTCCTAGCTACTTGAGAGGTAGAGGTTAGAGGATTGCTAGAACTCAGGAGTTTGAGGATCTGTTGGCCCCATTATACTACTATAGCCTGGGCAATAGAGGGAGACCTTATCTCTAAAAAAAAAAAAAACCTAAAATTTTTCTTTTCTTTTTTGTTTTTTGAGTTGGAGTGTCACTCCGTTGCCCAGACTAGAGTGCAGTGGCCACTCCCGGCTGCCGCAGCCTCAACCTACTCTGCAGCCTCGACCTACTGGGCTCCAGCAATCCTTCCGCCTCAGCCTTCCAAGTAGCTAGAACTACAGGTGCACGCTACCACACCTGGCTAATTTTTTGATTTATTGTAGAGATGAAGTCTCACCAAGTTGCCCAAGCGGGTCTCGAACCTGCGGGCTCAGGCAATCCACTCACCTTAGCCTCCCAAGGTGCGGGATTACAGGCTGAGCCACCAAGCCCGGCCTTAATTTTCTTTTTTACTCACAGGTGTAGAGTTGAGTTTTTTAAACCAGCTATTAAATTTACAAATTTAGGCCGGGCGTGGTGGCCCATGCCTGTAATCCCAACACTTTGGGAGCCAAGGTGAGAGAGATTACCTGAATTCCCGGGTTCAAGACTAGCCTGAGCAACTTTGCAAAACCTCATTTCTACAACAAATCAAGAAAAATTAGCCAGGTGTGATCACACATGCCTGTAGTTCCATCTACTCGGAAACTTGAGGCGGAAGGAAAGCCAGAGCCCAGAAGTTTGAGACTGTGGTGGCCATGAGTGTGCCACTGCACTCCAGCCTGGGTGACAGAGTAAGACTCTGACTCAAAAACACCCAAAATTTACAAATATATAAAACAGTGCCACTCTTCACACTAAACTTGTTTTGTTTTTGAAAATGCATATTAACAAAAATTTAAGTTAACAGGCACTGGGTTTATTTTATTTTATTTTTTGAGTTAGAGTCTCACTTTGTCGTCCAGGCTGGCGTGCAGTGGAATGCTCCCAGCCACTGCAGCCTCAACCTGCCGGGTTCAGGCAACCCTTCCACCTCAGCCTTTCAAGTAGCCAGAACTACAGGTGTGCACTACTACGCCCAAGAAATTTTTTGATTTTTTTCTTCTTTTTTTTGTAGAGAGAAGGTTTCACCATGTTGCCCAGGCTGGTCTTAAACCCGTGGTCTCAGGCAGTCCTCTTGCCTCGGCCTCCCAAAGTGCTGGGATTATAGGCTTGAGCCATGATGCCCAGCCGCACTAGGTTTATTATTGTTGTTTATTTGTCTATTTATTTTTGAGTTGGTGTCTCACTCTGTTGCCCAGGCTGGAGTGCAGTGGCACACTCACGGCCACTGCAGCCTCAACCTGCTGGGCTCAGGTGATCCTTCCACCTCAGCCTTCTAAGTAGCTGGAATTATAGGTGCGCACCACCACACCTGACTAATTATTAAATTTATTGTAGAGACAAGGTCTCACCAAGTTGCCCAGGCTGATCTCAAACCTCTGGGCTAAGGCAGTCCCCTTGCCTCTGCCTCCCAAAGTGCTGGGATTGCAGATGTGAGCCATCATGCTTGGCTTATTATTGTTATTTTAAGATGAGTAAAGAAATATTTGGAAATTCTTAATTGTAATTTCTATTCAGTAAATATCAATAGGTATAAGTCATGTAAACAAAAGCTCTTTGAAGTCCTTAAAGAGTATAAAGGGCTCCCAACACTAAAACCTTTAAAAAGCACTTGTTTAGAATATTATTGTATGAGTTAAAGAAAATCTTGATTTGGAAGTAAAAATTAATAGCATATTGAAATATTCAAACAGCTGGTCACAGTTGCTCACACCTATAATCCCAGCTCTTTGAGAGTCAGAGGTAAGAGGCTTGCCTGAGCTTAGTCAGGGACTTGAGACCAGCCTGAGCAACATGGGGAGAACTTGTCTCTAGAATAAACCAAAAAAAATTAGTTGGGTGTGGTGGTGCATGCCTGTTGTTCTAGCTACTTGGAAGGCTGAGGCAGAAGGATTGCCTGAGCCCAGCAGGTCAAGGCTGCGGTGGCTGTTGAGTGTGCCACTGCACTCCAGCCTGGGTGACAAGAGTGAGACTCCAACTAAAAAAAAACCAAAAACCTAAAAACTAAAACAATTAAATGAAAAATTTTTCATACTTACCAAAAAAATTTTTTGTTTATTTTTGTAAGCAGGAGGCTGGAACCTACTGAACGACCTCTTCAGATTGTCTATGACTACTTATCCAGGTTGGGGTTTGATGATCCTGTGCGCATACAGGAGGAGGCTACCAATCCTGACCTCGGCTGTATGATTCGATTTTATGGTGGTAAGAATTTTATCAGTGGCTTTATGTGTTAACTACTTGGAATTGGATCATTTGTGCCTCTATCTGCCTTATACTTTTTAATAGTATTTTATGAAAAGATTATTTTTTTTTTTTTTGAGTTGGAGTATCTCTCTGTTGCCCAGGCTGGAGTGCAGTGGCACGCTCACAACTACCACAGCCTCAACCTACCAGGCTCAGGCGATCTTTCCGTCTTGCCTCAGCCTTCCAAGTAGCTGGAACTACAGGTGTGCGCTGCCACCCCCAGCTTTTTTTTTTTTTTTTGTATAGATGAGGTCTCACCAAATTGCCCAGGCAGGTCTTGAACCCATGGGCTCAGGCAGTCCTCTCACCTCGGTCTCTGAAAGTGTGGGATTATAGGCACTGTATCCGGCCTAGTATCAATGATTTTTTTCAAGCTCCTGGTATAGTCTACAAACTTCTGGATAGTTCAGTAATTTTGAGAAGTACTCTATCATATATGACGTGACATTTGATGAATACAACTGTCGAATTTTTATATTGATGAATTTAGTGGACTTTAAATCACGGATTTTTGACTTTTATGCAGTTTCCTCCCATAGACTGTTTTTACTTGATCACTTCAATAATCTAACAACAGTAAGGTAGACTTATAAAAATCAGATACCCTATCTGAATATTACTTTTTATTATACATGGACTACTACTACTAAATAACAATCATTGAATCCTTCTGTTTGCTTTATGCTTTGAATTATCTAATTTACTCATTACAACCATTCTGTGTTGTAGGAACTCTGTCCCATTTTGAACAGATAGTAAAACCAAGACAGAAGTAGTAACTTGTTCAAGATCATAAAATTAATTAGTGACAGAGCCATTTAAAACCTCACAGCTTTGAATTAATATGACCTACTTAGCCCAAACAGTTGAGCCATAGTGGTTAAATTGTTAGTGTGTATAGGCATAATCATGTACTGAGATTCCTGCTCTCATTCTTCAAATTATTGACTTCAGGCCAGGGGTGGTGGCTCAGCCTGTAATCTCAGCAATTTGAGAGGCTGAAGTGAGAAGATTGCCCGGGGGTTCGAGACCAGCCTGGGCAACTTGATGAGACCTCGTCTCTACAATAAATCACAAAACTAACCGGGTGTGGTGGCATGCATGTGTAGTTCCGGCTACTTGGCTACTTGGAAGGCTGAGGCGTAAGGATCACCCAAGCCCAGCAGGTCAAGGCTGTGATGGCCGTGAGCGTGCCACTGCCGAAGAGTGAGATTTCAACTAAAAAAAAAATTATTGACTTCATTTCTGTATGCCTTTTTTTTGAATTGATGTCTCACTGTTGCCCAGACTAGAGGGCAGTGACTATTCACAGAAAAGATCATAGTACACAATGACTTTGAACTCCTGGGATGAAGTGTCCTCCTGAGTGGCTGGAATAACAGGCATGTGTCACCATGTCTGGCTAGTTTCTGTATACCTCTTTTTTATTTTTTTTACCATTTTGAATTACCTTTTTATTGATTCGGTGTTCACTTGGTTATTGTACATCTTTTTCTATTTTCCAGGGTTCTGACAAAGTTGACTGACAATTTTTGCTTGTGGTTAGAGTTACCTACTTCACTATTTTAACTAATATCACTCTTAACCACATAAGCTTTTGGACTTCATATTAATCTCTTTTCTACTTTTTCTCTAAGTTTTGGGAGATTAGTAATATAATTTTTTAAAAATTTAGCTTTCAATCTTCTGTTTTAATCCCTCCTATGGGTTTTTTTTATTCAGTAATTATGCATTTCATCTTCTCTCTCTCTCACTCTTAGATTTCTCCTTTTGCTAGGTATAATGATGCATGAAATTCACATAAGACTATAGAATTAGATTTTCTAAAGACTTATTTTATGTTTTTGCATATTGAAAACTAGTTCTTATTTTTAAACAAGGTAGTTTCCTTTTTTTCCTCCAAATTTATTCTTATTATAGAAAAAATGTTAAAAAAATATAGTAGTTGTTAGGTCAGAATCCCAGTGGGGCCTCAGAAAAGTTAGGTCACAAGGGGTTGGGGATCTGTGATCCAGTGCCATGTGAAAGTTGCAAGGAATTGCACAGAAGTTAGATTGGAAAATACAGTTTATTTAGAAAGTAAATTAGAGAGAGAGAGAGAGGAGACTCACCTCCCCAAGGTAGGGTGGGGGCCAAAGCAAGGAAAACATGGTGGCCATGGCTCAAAGAGCCATGTGGCCAAACCACATCAATGTTTAGTAAAGCAATGGCTTTCTGTATACTTCTTGATACGATGCTTGAACATAACAGGATAAACCAGTTTTATTATATGTACGTCAGAAGATTTTATATATAATTGTTTATTTATTTATTTATTTATTTTGAGTTGGAGTCTCACTCTGTCGCCCAGATTGGAGTACAGTGGCCTCTCCCGGCCACCTCAGCCTCCACCTGCTGGGCTCCAGCGATCCTTCTGCCTCAGCCTTCCAAGT